TAATAAAATTTTAAATATAATATTATCATATATATATATATATATATATATATATATAATTAATTTTATCTATCATTTACCAAGCACTCAAAGCATTCCACAACTCTATATTTACTCGCAATCTTTTTCTTCACATGCAAATGTGTTATCAAACAAAACCAAAGACAAAACTTTTCTATATTTACTCAAATGTGTTATCCACATGCAAGTTTGCATTTTTAGGCTAAGCTCTTTTACTAAATCCACAACTCTATATTTACTCAAATTTTTAGGCCAAACTATTCTTCTTAATAATATAGTATCATAGTCATATGTTCATTCTATTATTTATATCTTTTCATCTTGACTTGTCCATGGCTTGATGTTTTAATCTTAAAACATCAATTTTGAGAATTCCAATATGAATATGTCATTTCTATTAATTTACTAGAATAATCCAAAGACATATTATCTTTATATTCTTTTAATCTTGTTTTCAATCTATTCTCATCGGTTGTAAAATATTTATTTATTTTATATGATTTTTGGGTATCTGGTTATTATTTTTATTTCCCTTTTATTGGGCCCATTGAGGTGGTGCACAAATTAGATTTGATTATGATACGTCTGTTGTGGGTTGATGATGTCTTCAAATCTATGGAATAGTGGAAACATTTGAGATGAGTAATAATGTGGTAGTTATTGCGTCATATGAAATTATAACGGCCAACGGTCATTTTTTTTGTTTGTTATGTTTTCCTTCTTCGTTGGTGGGAGGCACCATCCGACGGTGGACGCTCTCATGGCGACGTCTCCGCAATTGCCTCCGCCCCTCTCGCCTCCCCGCAAATCCCCCAACCATCGGTACCCTAACCCTAACGCTCACCCTCTCACTCCCCTCTTCTTCCTCCTCCACCCTTCACTTTTCCCTCCTCCTCCTCCTATGGCCGCTTCGCCCTGCTTCCGCCGTCGCAGCACCCACGCCGACGCCGCCGGCCGACCCCAGCTCCGGCGCGGAAGATGAGGGCCATCGGATCCACCACCTCCTGGGTTCTCCCCTTCCGCCGCCGCCCGGCGGTCACCCCGCCACCGGCCTCCGTCCTCCTCCACCTTCGCCGCCGCCCTTGGCAGCCCCGCCGCATCCTCGACCCCGGCGGCGACGCCGTTCTTCGCTGGAACCGCATCTTTCTCGTCTCCTGCCTCGTCGGCCTCTTCGTCGATCCCCTCTACTTCTACCTCCTCTACATCGGCGGCCCCGCCTGCGTCCGCATCGACGTCAATCTCGGCATCATTGTCACCTTCTTCCGCACCGTCGCTGACCTCTTCTATCTGGGTCACATGCTCCTCAAGTTCCGCATCGCATTCGTGGCGCCCAGCTCAAGGGTCTTCGGCAGAGGCGAGCTCGTCACGGATCCCCACCAGATTGCCATGCGCTACCTCAAAGGCGACTTTGTCATCGATCTCATCGCTATGCTCCCCATCCCCCAGGTAGGTATTCTTCCTACCCGCCAATTCAAATATCTTCTTCTTGTTCTTTTTCTCGGTGTGTTCTCGTCCTATGCTATATAATCTTGTACGACCAGCAGCCATACCTTGAAACAACGTAGCAATGCGCCATATATATACCTTGCTCAATCCTCTGTATAACGTACGGTTGATCATTCACAGAGATAAAACTGATCATCCATGCTAAACAAACAAACTGACTATTCCCAGGTGCCCATATATTAAAATGCTGTGGAACGTCCAAACTAGATTTATGAGTTGTTTTATATTACAATGTGCATTGCTTTATGTGTCTATTATACAAATTATCTCGAGTCCTGAACAATTTAAATGTGACTTTCCCGTTAATTCAACCAAGAGCAGGTTAGATATATCAATCAGGATACAGGTAAAATCTTGAGCTGTGTACCATTTTTAATCATTTCAGGTACCTGAGTAGGCAAAGAAGTTATGACAGGGAGCACAATGGATTCTCTGATAGTCCTTTCCTCTGAAATCTGGTTTACCATGGACTCGTAATAGATTATGGATAGGAACGGCAATTGTAACCCAAACCTCTGTTGCAACAGCTCTGTTGGGTCTGGTTTGAGTAGCTTTGACGATGTGGTTGGAACACAATTTTCAGAAACCAGGTCAGGTCCCATTCCATTCCATCCTCGTATGCCCCACGCCTAAAAAAATTATCCCCTTCTATTATAATTTAATAAAAAATTACATATCTGATTAGTTATCCACAATGCTATGGGCAGGGGAAAACTGAATGATTAGATTTGGTGCAGGTCTAGCTAGAGTGCCATTAGATTTCTTAACCTGGATCAGGGATAGGACAAGATTTTTGAGTGGTGGAGCAGGAATGAGTTATGTTAAACTCGTCCCTTCTCACTCCATTTTCGTTCCTTGTGGAACCAATTTGAGGATGATACTTATTACCTGTTTTAAGAATAGGCACAGGACCCAGCTCTGAGAGGAACCTAACAATTAATCCTTCTCAGTGCCATTCACCAGTAGTGATGAACCCAGAATCTAAAACCTACCCATGAATGACACAAGGAAATATTGGTCGTAGGTGTTGAATCTTGGATTTTGATGATGAAACTAATTGAGAGTGTTTATGATTTAATCTGTGTTTTGAGTGACGTAGGAAGCTGGGATCAAGAAGAGACAATTAAAGCAGGAAGAATCATATTGGGCTGAAGAAAAACATTTAAGAAGATTAGATGTCTAGTCAGAGAATTGGTCGACATATCGACAGAAGGCTTCGGGCCATGGATTCTCTAATAGTCCTTTCCTTTGAAATCTAGTTTACCATGGATTCATAATAGATTATGGATAGGAACGGCAATTGTAACCCAAACCTCTGTTGCACCAGCTATGTTAGGTCTGGTTTGAGTAGCTTTGACGATGTGGTTGGAACATAATTTTCAGAAACCAGGTCAGGTCCTATTCCATTCCATCCTCGTATGCCCCATGTCGGAAAATATTATCCCCCTCTATTATAATTTAATAAAAAAAATTACATATCTGATTAGTTATCCACAATGCTATGGGCTGGCGAAAACTGAATTATCAGATTTGGTGCAAGTCTAGCTAAGGTGCCATTAGATTTCTTAACCTGGATCAGGGATAGGACAAGATTTTTGAGTGGTGGAACAGGAATGAGTTATCTTAAACTCATCCCTCGCTCCAATTTGAGGATGATACTTATTACCTGTTTTAGGAACAGGCACAGGACCCAGCTCTGAGAGGATCCTAACAATTAATCCTTCTCAGTGCCATTCACCAGTAGTGATGAACCCAGAATCTAATACCTACCCATGAATGACACAGGGAAATATTGGTTATAGGATCTGCTAGGCACAGGGTCCTGTGCCTGCTTAAAGCCAGGTAATCACAGACCCTACCCTGAAGGTACATCAATATGCAACACTGGTCAACAGTGGTATATTTTCATGAAGAGAACAGGAGTTTCTGTACAATCTAATATGACAAAGATAGTCGGATATAGCATCAGGTTATTAAAGAAAATATTTTTCTATTGGTTTCTGAATTTTCTAATGAAAATTAGAAAACTAGGCTATAGAGGTTTTTTCTTTTTCTGAATGCCAATTGGATTCTCTCTCTTTGAGGAATAAGTTAAAACTTTCATCTTTATCCTTCCAAGATATTATTATCAAGTTTTATAAGTGTACTTGAAGATGGTTTACACCGAGTGGTATCCAAAAGAATAAAGGGGGGTTACAACTTTCGTAGAGCTAACGTATTTTAAGTTGGTATATATAAGAACATTTGCAGAACTCTGTTTCCTGAGTCATTTTCCTTGTCTGAAATTATTTTTTGGTGAATAATAGTAAGAAATCAATCCTTTCATTGCATAGACTTATTATAGATTTTCTGTTTGTTATTTGTTTCTCACGGTTAATTGCTTTACCCATGACTATGATGTATTCTAAAAGGTCAAAATTGACTTAAAATCTTAAGTTCCTTACTTGCTAGCTTCATATTTTAAATTTGGTACAAACTTGAACATTTTTCAGCCTAAAATAGTGATCATCAAACTGAAACACAGGATTCTTGAGATAACTTCTATGAGTGTTTAAGAAAATAAATTTTATTTTTATGGAAAAATGCATTTGTGTACTCTGTAAAATGAAATTGTTCCATTGAAAACACCAGTATACCATGCATGTTAGGGATATGAGTCTAACCCAGTAAAATATTTTGACAAATGAAATAAACTTGAACCAGATTGAGATTGTGTTGACTGGCATATGCTAAATTATGGATTTGTTTTAGATCCCATTTGAGTTGTTTAGACAGGGATATCATAGTTTATACTTTAAAGTTCTTATAATGTATTTTTTTAAAATTTGAGTTATTAAGAGCATGATCTCCTTTTCTGCAATCTTTGACAACATGGCTGTGGTTCGGTTAGTCAGTAAGACTGAGAGACAATGGCCATAAATTTAGGATAACTAGTTTTTTTAATCATACAATGTAGCTTTGATCTTTAGAATATCAGAAATCCGGTAGGTTTTATTTGACGTCTAAGGCCTTTGTTCCAGGTGTTTCTGCAAGTTTCAGATCTTCATATTCATGATAAGATGGTATTGGCATGGGATCCATAATGATCATTCTATACCATGCCAATTTGCTTCTGGAATAAATCAATATGCTGATGAAAATTATATTATTATTGGACATTCTTTTACCTGGAAACATTCATGAAAATTGTGAAATATGCTCGATGATGCTAATTTTCTTAAAATGAATTGGTTTTTTCTTATTATAGCATTATTCATGGACTTTAGGGAAAATATCATTTTGTCTTGATTTTTGTTCTTTTGCAGATAATCATCTGGTTTGTGATTCCAGCAGTGAGCAGCTCTTCAGCGAATCACACCAACAATACACTTTCCTTAATTGTTTTCATCCAATATATTCCAAGATTATTTCTCATTTTTCCTTTGAATGCACGGATTGTTAAGGCCACAGGAGTAGTTACAAAAACTGCATGGGCAGGAGCAGCATACAATCTCCTTCTGTATATGCTGGCAAGCCATGTATGCTTCTTTATTAGTTATCTTTTCCCAGTTATCGCAATATATTTTTCTTGAGTGAGAAATTTTGACTATCTTATCACCTATACAGGTTCTTGGAGCTTTATGGTATCTTTTGTCCATTGAGCGCCAGTACACCTGCTGGATCACAGAGTGCATTAAAGAAAATGCCACTATGACAATGCCAATGTGCAACCCTAGGTTTTTGGACTGTAGTAGCTTAGAGCTGCCTGAACGGAAGGCGTGGCGCAATAGTACCCTTCTGCTTAGTAATTGTGATGCCACAAGTGATAGTGCCAAGTTTAATTTTGGCATGTTTGCAGATGCTTTGACTAGTGAGATTGTTGCAGCAACTTTCATTGAGAAGTATCTGTATTGCCTTTGGTGGGGATTGAAAAATCTAAGGTAAATCTATTGCTGACAATTTATTTCTGATTGCCATATTTTGAGCACAGTTTCTCCATTACTTGCCCCATCTTCTTCTTTCTCTTCCATTTACTTTGGTGATTCTTAAAAGGCATGTACTGAAGATGTAAAGAACAGCATAGTTTATTACAAATGTATTCATTGGATAAGGAACAAAGCTTACACAAATATCCAGAACAATGCAACTTCAACTATACCTGGGAAAATTATATGAAATCTGCCAGTAGGAGGCATTATGTACTTTTTTAACAATGACAGGCTAAGAAAACTGGGTATTTAATGCTTTCTGGAATATCTGATTCTTGTAATTTCTTTGTCTTTAAAGTGCTCTTTTTATTTGTTTGTTGTCACAGTTCAGTATATTATTCCTTATAATTTGCAAATAATCATACTTTTGTCGCAAAAATAAAATTCCTTGTGACTCTTTTATCAGTTTACCTCTTGAGGATCTTAAATTAGTGCTTTATATCATTTCTATTCAGTTCATATGGACAGAATCTGGCAACAACTACTTATGTTGGGGAAACAACATTTGCGATTCTGATATGCATTGTGGGTCTTGTTCTATTTTCACATTTAATTGGAAACATGCAGGTAACATTTCTTGACATTAATTTTTATAAATTAATTTTATTGAGCCACGCGTGTTGTATCCCTCACTATATTTTCTGGATCTCATTGCTTTCTGTAGGTAAATATATGGTAATTAATGTGATTGTTCAATTTTTTGGTATAGAGATTTTGTTAAACCTGCTCATCCAAATACAGATCTGTGGATGGCTTTTGTCTTCATGTTCATTTTCCTTGTTCTAGGTTTATTGCGTCTATTTCTGTTCTGCTGATTCTTCATTATTCTTGAAAACTTATGTGCAAATACATGTATTGCTTCACCTTATTCTTTTACGTCCGTGCAATATATTATGTGTCTCCAATTGATTAAAGTCTATTGATTCTTTAACTTTAATATTTTTTCAAAAGTCTTTCTTCAGTATTTCTAGGTGATCTTACTGTTGCAATTCAGTTTTCATGCCTGTTCCTCAAGCATCGTTGTGCTTTTGTTTCCCTTGTCAAAGCTATCTCATCTTGTTTACCTCCAAAGATCCAGCAGTTGATCCATGTCATTTCCATATAGTAGCATAAAAATTTATTTATTATGAAGCAGGTCTATTAGTTGTGTCCTTATTTTCTAAAAGTTCATTTCCATTATGTGTTTAGCTTGTGGCCCATAAAAATATCACCCTCTCTTATGTGGATCTTGTGTGTGTTTCTGCTGCTTTTGGATTTGGATGAGTATCAAAATGGGATCATAGAGTAGCTTAACAAATTTCAGCTGAGGGAAATTGAAGCAGTCTGCCTCCATTGATTTTGGCAGAAGAAGAGGATAGATTTGTGTTTCATCTTTCTATAGGTTTGATACAGGTCATCAAATCATATTTATGACTGAAATTATGTTTTAGAACAGAAATCTTCTTATTATGTATTATCAGTTAAAATAATATGACTCAAATCATGAATTCCTAGAGGTTCTTATCTTGAAGCAGTGATAGGATCTGAAAGGTATCATAAGCTACACTATATAATTAAACTACGTAACCTTTGTTTTTATTTCCTTCCACAATTCATAGTTTTCTGTGAAACTCCATAAGTTGGAGTGAGCTATTGTATCATTGACAATATCTATAGTTCTGGATGCTGAATCTCGAACTGAAGATGTTCTGACTTGGGCTTGCATTGTTGCAAGATGATTCTAATATAGAATCAAGTTTATGGAATCTTACATTGACTTCTCTATGTATAGTCATTGACCACCTGTACAAATATGGTACTTAAATCCTTGGGCTAATTAAGCCTCTAGTGGTGGTTTTCTTTCGTTGTGTTCTTTTCTTTAGAGGCAGGAGACCACAAGTTATGTCTGCCCTGTTTATAAAGACCTGCTATAGAGTGGTCAAAGTGGTTGTTTCATGAACAGGCAAAAGAAGTGTCAGGTACATATTTGTATGATGATTAATCTGATTCTACTGTGGTTATAGAGTATTAGAAAGATAAATTAAGGTGCAGTTTTGATGTGTCATTGTATGTTTTTCCACATTTCTTCCCAGCAATATGTTAGAATGACTTTGAAATATACACTTGATATGTGTGATTGGCATTCTAAGCATCACATTTACTCAAAGTCAACATATCTGGCCAAGTGATTTGCTAGCTTAAAGTATGATTTATTGGGTATCATCTTGGATTCAGTTTCTGGTTTTTGTTTTACGATATTTTTCTTCTTTGGCAGGTTCTTTGTTTTGTGAAAGAAAACTTATTTTTTGTGATTCTTGATCGCTCTCTGCATGTATTATTCATATTATGATTACAGGATCAAGTAAAACTACCTTTTCTATTGCTGTATATCATTGCACTGAATTCACTCCATGTAATTCATACTTGAAAAAAAACTCCATAGTAAAATTAATTACTTATGTTTGATTTGAAATATAATTCTAGCATTATGTCCTTTCATGTCTTGTTTATTGAACTGATCTCTGTTCTCTTGGTTGCACAGTCCATCATCATCCTTTTTTGTTCCTCTGCTTTCAGACCTACTTGCAGTCTATTACTGTGAGACTAGAAGAATGGCGAGTGAAGCAAAGAGACACAGAGGAGTGGATGAGGCATCGTCAACTACCGCCCGACCTACAAGAACGTGTTCGGCGTTTCGTCCAGTACAAGTGGCTTGCTACTAGAGGTGTCGATGAAGAATCAATTTTGCAATCTTTACCTTTGGATCTCCGTCGCGAAATCCAACGTCATCTATGTCTTGGTCTCGTTCGTCGAGTGAGTGTGGCCCTCCATTCCCGCATTCCTTACCTCTTTTCCTTTTTATATTGTCGGACTTGGATCGAAAAAAATGAGGATTACAGATCGTTTATGAGAATTTAGCTTCATGCGGTTCGCTAAAATAAGGATTGCAACCACTAAATTGTCAGGTCCCGTTCTTCTCACAAATGGATGATCAGCTTCTGGATGCTATCTGTGAACGACTGGTCTCATCCCTGAGCACCAAGGACACGTACATCGTCCGGGAGGGTGACCCAGTCAATGAAATGCTCTTCATCATTCGAGGTCAACTCGAAAGCTCTACAACTAACGGCGGCAGGAGCGGTTTCTTCAACTCCATCACTCTGAGACCTGGGGACTTCTGCGGCGAGGAGTTGTTGACATGGGCTCTGATGCCCAACCCCAGCATGAACTTTCCTTCATCGACTCGAACCGTTCGGGCCCTCAGTGAAGTCGAAGCGTTTGCGCTTCGAGCTGAAGATCTCAAGTTCGTCGCCAACCAATTCAAGCGTCTCCACAGCAAGAAACTGCAGCATGCTTTCAGGTTCTATTCATACCAATGGAGGACTTGGGGAGCTTGCTTCATACAAGTTGCATGGCGGCGGTACAAGAAGAGGAAATTGGCCAGGGAGCTGGCCGAACAAGAGTACCCCGACTATGACCCAGTACTGGAGGACGATGAGAGCCAGGATATGGAGCATGATGGGGCTCCTTTGCTTGCTGACTATGCCGATGGCGGTGAAGTCTCATCAGGAGAAACCGAAACCGGGAGCAATTTCCAGCATCTCGGGGCGACGATACTCGCTTCGAAGTTTGCCAAGAACACAAAGAGAGGAGCAAATCAGAAGATCAATCAGCTCAGTAAGGCTGCCACTAGCATCAAGCTGCCGAAGTTGTTGAAGCCGGATGAACCTGATTTCTCCATGAACAATTTGGATGACAAGTGACTGTTTGTTAGATTGTAAAACAAAAAAAAAATGTCCATAAAACCGTAACTAGGAAATTTTCCAGCCATCTTGATGTAAAAGTAGCAGTATATCCAAAAAATCTAAAACTGCTGCCTTTTGCGTTGCGTGATGACTTTGCATGTTTCTCCTTTTTCACTTTAGAAGTCACTGGGTTTCTGATGCAAAATGGATTATAAAAAACAAATGGCTCGTTACTTAGTGCACTGTATGTCAGATTGGATAAGATCGGGTCGTGACACTGTAAGCTTAGATTTTACTTGAGAAAATGGTATACAGATTATTAAGAGATCACTCAATCTTTTTCACATTGGCTATATTGCCTGGTTCTTATCGTTCCTTGTGTTTTGTTGCAAGTTTTCTTATAACTTGGAGATATGGTGGTGCTTATTCCTCTAAACAAGATTAGCTAACCCCCACAACCTGCATCTAAATAGACTATAAATGATCCAAACCTCAGCTTTATTTTTTAGCTGAATATAATTTTTTTGAAGATCGCCTTACATCAAAACCATGAATCGTCATTTATTTTATTTCTTGAAAGGAATAAGTAAGTTCGAAGACAGGTTTTGATCATGGTGAATCCATAATTTTTACTAGCAAAACCAATGATATCTTCAAAATAATAGTATATATATATATATCTATCTATCTATCTATCTATATATTTACAAATGATGAGGATGAGATTCAATTTGAAAATTTAGTATTGACATTATTAGGGCTAAAATCATATTTTTTTAGAAAAAAAAGATATTAATTAAAGCTTGTTATTATTGACAGCCATATTAATTATATATCTACTGTTTACCATCCTATTTATTAGTGGATATTTATTAGTTAATAGGTGGAGATGAAAAACATATTATTGATATCCTTTCTATTGGGATTAATAACTAATTTAAGATTCTTGATATTAGCGTCTCGATAGGATAAGCAATTATAGTAAAAAAAAAAAAATTCTGATAATTAAAGTTCGGTTCATTTATAAATTTCTTATGATATAAAGACGAGAATACGTAAAGTAGATTACAAATCTTCTCCTTTTAGTCACAATCGTATTGTAAATTTAAAGATCTATTGTTATTTGATTTTAGATTTTAATATTAAATTTTTTCATAAAATAATAAATGTTTAGTTTATAATTTTTAAATTTTTCTTCAACTCTCTATTTTTTTTTCTAGAGAGATTAAGAAATAAGTATAAATTTTTCTTCACGCAGAAAACACTCATAATAGCAAAACCCTGTGATAACGTTAGAAGAACAGTGGAGAGTTAAGCTTGTCTTATCGTAGTCATCAAAATGTGTGGCTCATACGAGGAGAGGGTCAAACATATTGTCATGGAATTAAATTGCTAGTAACTGTTTGCAATGTCAACGGGTGATGGATAGAGGTACTCTGGAAGTTGACTTAATTGTACGAGTTGTGTGCATCGCATGGTTTGACTCATCCACAAACATGCGGAGGTAGATTGTTCATGTGATCCAAATCATAGATACTCTGATAGTTAAACAACATTATCATCTTTGTTTTATGTTAAATTAATTATTTACATGACATGCTGGTCAATTATCAAATCAATCAAACAACAGTACCAAAAAACTATAGGAAACATGAGATTGTGTATCATCTTAGTTTCATGATAAATTAACTATTTACATGACATGCTAGTCAATTAACGAATCTATTGAAAAATAATACATGACAAATTTTTTTTTTTTATCATCTTTGTTTTATGATAAATTAACTATTTGCCCGCTAATCAATTACCAAATCAATTAAAAATAATACCAAAAAATAAATCTGAAATATTTTGGGTTTGAAAATCCGAGCACGTTGATGTAAAAGTCTAACTCGATCGTTACATTGATAACTCATCTCCGACAATGGTAAGGATCATAAAATAAATATTGATCGGTAAAGATGACTTCTTGACAAATTTATTTGAGATTTTAAACTTTCAATGAATATTTTAGGTATAAATTATTTATAAAAAATCAGATTACAAAGGATTCAATTCCTATTGCCTCTAAGATAGAGTTTAGGTATAATAATAATAATAATAATAATAATAATAATAAATCTTTGAGAGATAGTTTAGATATTTTTAAATTAAAAATAATGTTTGAAAAAAAAATAAAATGAGATATAAAATGAAAATACTCAAAATAGAAATATTTTATAAGGTGTAATTTCTAATAAACGATGGAATATTATGCTTCTCTCTCAAAAGTATGCGGTGTTAATATTACGTCGCAAAAGTATGCGTTGTGGCGCAGCAGAAGCAACAAAAGAAAAGTATTCGGTGGGAATCGCTCGTCTTCCGATCTGAGGTCCCAACCGCATCGCTCGGCCTTCAGTTCTTACCCCCCTTCGTCTCTTGTTCTTTGGAATATAAATCCTTCGGAAACCCTAATCTCATCTCCTGTCCATCATCTGATCTACGTCCTTTCATCTCGCCTGCAACGCATCGGAATTTTGCTACGGCCTGCGCGGTACGGACTGCTGCCACGACGGGGTTTCCCATCTCCTTGATCCTTGATCTTAGCTTATTGTCGTGATAGTCGAAATCTGTGTGACGGTGGCCTTAATGTTGGCCTTTTTTCCTCCATGCTCGCGTTGGTTTGACGGTGGCCTAGATTGGTGTTGATGTTAATTGTTAGGATGACAAGAAAGATCTTGGGTTTATTTTCTGCCATGTCAAAGGTAGTTTTTGAAGGAAAGGAACCATCAGAAGTTCATATGTGGTTCTCCTTTTTATGTGAATTTGGCGTATTACCAACTAGCGGTGGATAAGCAATGTAGTTGAGGATAGATATAACTTCTGTGGATTTCTTTTCTCATTTTGATGATATTAGGCTGTGAATATGGAAGTTCTAATGCATATGTGTAGGATTCTTTCATATGTGAACTTGTGCTGAATACAACTCTCATAAAGCAGAGCCCGTTAGTACCGTTAAAAGAACAGTGGAGAGTTAAGCATGGTAAAATTAAAAACTGAGAGCCTTTTTACTGTCAACTTTTGAAGCCTATCGTATCATTTTATGTTATGAAATAAAGTTTTCTTCTTTAGAACATTTACCTAAATATTTTGTAACTATTGTTGTTGTTGAAGCTTTTGTTTATCAAAGAATCTCTGGCAGGTTTTTGAGAATTGGGCAATACATTAATTGCTTATCTTCAAGGAATGAATCCATATATTGTTGCCATTTTCGTGCCGCTTATAGCTTCACTTATATTATGGAAATCAAATAATGGAAAGAAACGAGGGCTGCCAGCTGATGTTGGTGGAGAGCCTGGTTATGCAGTTCGCAACTACCGGTCCACTTCCCTAGCAGAATCTAGTTGGGAAGGAGTATCAACATTGGCTGAGCTATTTGAGCAAGCCTGCAAACGTTTCACATATAAGCCTTCGCTTGGAACTCGGAAGCTGATTACAAGAGAAATGGAAGTAAGCCAGAATGGGAGATCCTTTGAGAAGCTTCATCTGGGAGACTATGAATGGGTGAGTTATGGTGAGGCTTTTAAAGCTGTTTGCAGCTTCTCATCTGGTCTAGTCCATCTTGGCCACAAAAAAGATGAGCGGGTTGCCATATTTTCCGACACACGGGCAGAATGGTTTATAGCCTTACAGGTATGTTTTCTTGTCTGATAGATTATAATATGCATGCTCATTGAAGGTATTATTCGTGTTCGTAACTTTTTCCATGCAACACAATGCCCAGAAGCATTACCTTTTTATAAAATTAAATGGAAGAATATCTTCATTAAGTAGTTTAGCCTGATTTTGGTTTTCATTTAAATTGAACCCGAAAAAAGATCATAGAAGCTAATAAAGTTAGGTTATCAGGTTAACTTGTCATCTGTTTATAGGCACACATGCATGTTGAGCATTTGATGGACATCTTGATATTTGAACTGTAAGAATAACTCAATACATCCTGAAGTTTTGCTTGGAGCATTTAACTGTGGCAAAAGAAGTGCCACATATTATCTATGTTGTTAGAAAGTTTCGTTCCTTAGCTTCCTTATATAATTGGTCTCTTTTCTTAAACAGGGTTGCTTCAGGCAAAATATCACAGTTGTTACTATATATGCTTCACTGGGGGGAGAGGCTCTTTGTCACTCATTAAATGAGGTTTCATTATTCAAGACTTCTTCACTTCTAAGTCATTGATTTCTCTATCTGTTTGATCATCAAATTTGAATGTATGGTAGTGCAGTGAAATTTATGTTCTTTTGAACTTCTACTTGCATTAGGTAGTTCTTCAAACTTCTGGAAGTATACATGAAATGTTTCATCAAATTTTTGTGCCTATTGAGCATGGTCGGTAATTATTTCTGATAATATATTTTTCTCATTTTGTTTTGATTGTGATTCTCTGAAATATTTATTGATTTTCTGTAGTTTTTTCTTGCTGCAATGAGACCATTTATGATCTTTTAGTAAGGAGGCTTTTTCGATTTCTAATGCCGTGACAAGATTGTTCAAGAGCTATTAATTAGAAAGACTTGTGCGACACTTTTAATAAAAAGAGATATCTGTTTTCTCATTAATGTTTCTTGTGTACTTTTACCACTACTCTGTCTTTCTTTAGAGCTCACTTGAGGTCTAGAACTTGCAATCAACTATTTTAGATAATAAATAATTTATAAGTGTCTTTCAGCTATGGAAGTTAAACACATTGATTTTGATTATATCGTGGAAAATGGAAATGTATGGAACAATTTCCAACAGCTGGTTATTTTAAAGTTGTGCTGAAATGGTGTATAAAAAATGGTTTTACATCATGTGCAATGAACCTCTAAGGTTATTCATTGCAGAGGTCTTATATGCACAAGGAAAGCATCAAGACATCTTTTTCTTCATGCACACCGTCTTTTTGTCTGTAAATTGCATTTTCTACTTGAATTACTTTAGAACCAGGTGAAGGAAGTAATAATAGTTTTCTTTTTGTAGCTTTGTTTTGGTTCTAGATG